CGGCCATCGAAATAAAACACCGAATCCCGTGTTTTAGATGTGGAGGCTGTGGTTCATATGGAGGGTTGGTTTATAAAGGCATTCCGGATGGGTTGGGGTTTGAAACGGTATTCGTGGCTTGTATTACTGACCACACGTGCACTGGAGACAAGACAGTTACTTGTTCAACATTGAATGTCGAACGAGGAACTAACTTCACATCGGTGGCTGGCAGTTACAAATTGTATTTAAATGTGCACCAACCTGTGCATACATGTGGCAATGCAGGCGATTCACAAGAGTGCGCCACCAAGAGTTTGCAACATGTTGGCCAATCAGAACGCGGGAAATTTGTCGACCTTTTCCAAACCCACATGGGGTCGACAAATTTCACGCATTGTGATTGGCCAACGCGTTGCAAACTCTTAGTGGCGCACTATTGTGAAACGGCCGTATTGATTACAGTTATCAAAGCACATCATTTGGTGTTGATCAATAGTGAGTTGAACATACAATCGTTGAGATAAATGGGCCAGGACTTGTACTGGTATTTTGGAGTTAATTGTTTTGCCTTTTGAAGTTACTGGGTTTCTCTGTGATAAATTGAAAATCCTACCTTTAATGTTGTCCCTTTAATGTCCAGTCATTCAGCCTGTGATGATAAATAAAGGCCTTTGCATCTATTTACAGCACGGATTCCGATTTCTTGGACTAGTGCTATGGTGGACCAATCACCAAGATGGTTCTAAAGACCATTCAGGAGTTGAATGAATACGTCGAGGCAACGGGTGTTGTGTACAACCATTCCAACACTAAACTCATCTCAAGAAAATCTAAAGTGAAGAGATCTAGAAGGGAAGCATTCCTGTCTCTGCTTCCCTACAGGAGGCTGTCTTCCCACCATCATCATGCTGAGAACAAACCATTCACTAAACAGAAATCAAAGAGCAAACCCATCGCAGAAAGGTGAGAGACCACGTACATTGAGATCCACATACGTGCCTCCCCATATGTTCATATTTATTTATTCATGTTGTATGTAAAACTGATATTTGACAGTGGTGACAGGAATGTTGGTCAGCTATGTAACGACCATAGCTTTTGGGACTTCAGGTTTTTATGGTCAGTCTCTTAGTGTACTAGTGTAGGTTAAAAAATGACCAGCTAACTAGCTTATGGCAGCCAGGGATGTGTGCCCCCTAGGCTGCTACCAAGTGGTTGATCAGATTGTCCAATCCACCTGGCACTTTGGTTGACACTGATCGAACCGTACGTTTAGTTACCTCTAGTATGGGAAGGTCCTATGAGGTTTCCACTTCATGGCAAATTCATTTGAGTCATTACTGTTCATGCTGTTTCCATTACAGTGCCACCAGCAAGACGAGGCAGAAACTGCAGGTTTCTGTCCGGTCCCAACTCCCACATGGATCAAAGACACTGGATTTCGAAGTAGATCCAGACACATCCGTCTCGTCCCTGAAAGAGTTGATACACCGGAGGATCGGTGTTTTGCCTCAACGTCAGCATCTACACATCGGAAACATTCCGGTAATGACAATACAAAATCGTTTTCTTTCAGTTCAAGGTCAGACTTTTCAGTCTGAGCCATGGAGGTGTGGCCAATCTCACAACCGAGAGGGTAGGTCAGCCCCAGTTGAGCCCCTGTCACAGGGCACAGCTTTGCTGTCAAAAGCGCTGTGCCAACTGTCATAAGTTAGTTGTAAAATGTCACCTTTCCAGTTGTGATTCAAAGGAGATGCAGAATGTGAAGGGACCACTCTCTTGCAAGGTGAAACTGCAAGTGATGCAGGGGATTTTTTTGACCCTCACTGTCCAGATGTGCTCATGTGAATGTGTTAGCCTTCCAGTTGCAGATAAAATCAAGTATACACTTTTGTAGAAATGAAACTTCATCACGTGTTGTACCTACACCGTGTACTTTTTAACCATACTTTCTTTTGGACTTACTGCTTTGTCAGCTCCTTGATTTTCTCACGCTTCACGAGAATGGTGTCGACAAAAAGAAAATCATCTCACTGTCAACCGATGACCTGACTCCAGATGGACCAAAAGGTAAGTGTTGAAGTGAATGAATGCTAGATGAAACTTATGAAGAGAATTATGTTTTATTCGATGACTTGCACAAGAATGGAGATTGGTATTGTTTATGCCACTTATTAAAGCAACGCTTTCTTCAAGGCTTAATTTGCTTGCTTTAGCTGTGCTTACCGCTTAACAGCCTCTGCTAAACAGGTGGAGGCTCTGTAAGCACAAATCGGCTGTCAAGCAGGGCTTTATATAAAACTGGGCTCAAAAACTTTGGCAATTCCAAAATGACTATTAAATGAATAACGCATGTTTCATGCACAGACTTGTTTCAGCCACTTTTCTTAGAGTCAGACTTTTTAGAGGCAACTGAGTGCTGCCATTATTGTTTTTCTATGGAATTAATTCCATTGGGAAACAAAAAGGGAAAACTTAGAATAAAACTTAACAAAGATCTCGTAATTCCCTGAACAACCCTTATAGCTTCACACA